CAGGGCAGTTCTGCCTGCCTCTGAGTGATAGGTGAGATGGAACAGACTGATTCTATTTGCAGTTCTATTTACATCCATGTCCGGGAAACCCTGACAGACTTCTTTTCTCCTTGCTTATTTGGAATGCATGGTGCCGGATTGATTCGTTTTGGTGGTGCTTGATGGCATGCGAGGACTCTAAGTACATCCAGGCACATGCACAAGTATCACATCCCTTTAGGGATGTAACAAAAAAATACTTGTTTGGTTCAACTTTTTCAGATTGCACCAAATGTACCTCCAGATGTGTATATCTCGTATTTATTTCCTACTTAACATCTCCACTTGGCTGACTAATAGGCGTCCCCAACTTAACATGTCCAAAAACATATCTCCCCTCTTTCTCCCTGCTCACCCCCAAACCTCCATTCATTCCCAGTCTTCTCCATCTCAATAAATTGCCAGTTTTGTTTCCTAGTTCATTGCTCAGATCAAAAATCTGGGAATCATCCTTGATGCCTTTCCTTCTTTCACATTCCACATCCAGTCCGTCACCAAATGCTATTGGCTGTATCTTCAAAACATATCCAGAATCTGACCATCTCTCACCACCTCCATTGCTACCACCCTGTCGAAGCCGTGATCTTTTCTTGCCTGAATTATTGCAATAACCACCTAACTTGTCTCCCCATGTTCTTTCCTTACTTCCTTTAATCTATTCTCAACACAGCAGCTAGAGTAATCATGTGACCCCTCTGCTCCAAACCCTTCGGGGTTTCCAGCTCACTCCACAGCACTTAGCACCATGGGACATACTACCTACATGTCCTTGTGTGTTTATTTTCGGTTCCACTTACTGGTATTCAAGCTCCGTGCCAGCAGTGACTTTGCTTGGTTCACTCCTGTGCTGCCAATGCCCAGAACATTTCCTAGCACATAGTAGGAGCTCAGTAAATATTTGAAGATATGAATGAATAAATGAATGAGGGTCTCTGCACTCTCGTTTCCTCCTCTGCTTAATGGGGAAATGTTTGAACTACATTATTTTATAAACATTGATTTAAATACGAAAGTAATACACGTCCATTGTGAATGTTACAGAAGTGTGAAATAAAAAGGCTAAGTCTCCCTACCAGTACTGATACCCAGAACTCACCACTATGCCCTCCTAAAAC